CCAAAAAAAGACATAGAGTAGTGTTTTAGCAAGTTCTAGTCACAAAACAAGCCTTTTTAGTCTCGACCTTATATAGTCGAAAACCTGAATTTCTCCAAAGGGGTTAACCCACGATTATGGCTGAAAAATAAAAACTTTTTTCAATGGATACTTTTTGGCAAAACAGGACATAAGGTAGTGTTTGAGGAACTTCTAGTTAGAAAAAAAGCAAATCAATCGATATTCGAATTTAACAAAATCGATGTTAAATTGATAGTCGAAATTTGCATTTTTCCAAAGGGCCCCGGGCCCGCGATTTTGGCAAAAATTAAAAACTTTATTTATTCGTTATTTTTGGTCATAAAAGGCCGCACAATAGCATTTGAGCTTGTTTTAGATAGAAAATAAGCCTTTCAAGACTATAAAAATGTGGATGTTATATAGTCGAAAAATTGCTTTCTTCCAAAGGGGTTAACCCACGATTTTGGCTAAAAATTCTCTTTTTTATTCCTTATTTTTGGTTAAAAAGGCCATAATGGCATGTGATCATGCTCTAGGTAGATAACAAGCCTTATAAGTCTATAATGGTACCAAGTCGAAAAATTGCATTACTTCACGATAAGGCTCGATTTCCGCCGCTGCTCTAAAGAGGGTTAAGCTACGATTTTGGATAAAAATTAAAAAAAATTTAATGGCTATATTTTTTGGCAAAGCAGGGCATAAAATAGTGTGTGAGCAATTTCTAGTCAGAAAAACAAGTCTTTTTAACCATTAATGTAATAAAGATGAACCACTAAAGTAAGAAAAAAAAACTTAACCACTAATGTAATAACTTTGTAACCATAAATGTAACAAACTCAAAGAGAACACTTAATTGGTTATTTAGGATTATTAGGATTTATAAGATTATATGGCACACGGCACTGAAAAATCATACGACCTGACCTCCTGCTTTGATATCAGGCATTGCCGATTCAACGCAATATATATTAGGCGTTATTTCATACGCGAAGAGTTACCTCATATTTGACTGCCAAACGCACAGTGACAGAAAAATGCTGCAACATCTTATCTCTTGTTATTATGTCGGGAAGTTTGAACTCCAAGTCTGAAAGTGACGATTTGGAGTGAGCTTGAAAGTAGGGGCGACTATCTTTAGCTCTCTAGATAGCATAGCTCTGCCCAAAATGGGCACTAAACATTTTTAACACTGAAATGATAGACAGACAGACAGACAGACAGACAGACAGACAGACAGACAGACAGATTGATTGATTGATTGGTTCACTTTTATTTGAATACGGTAATTTCATAAGTTACATAACTTCTTGATATGAAAGCCGTATAGAAACAGAAGTAAATACTGTACAACTACACTAAAAATATGTACAAATAATAAAATATAGTAAAATGTAGTCAACAGTTTGCCTGCCAGCGTTTTTTCGTTCTAGAATATCATAAAAGACATTTTCCTGGCCTATATTGCCTAAAAAAAAAAGTTGGAAAAATGGCCATTTTTGGACCAAAACCATGGGTTAACCCCTTTGGAAAAATGTCAATTTTTCCACTTTTTGAAGTTCTTGTTTTTATAGCCTAGAAAGGCGTTTTTTCGTTCTAGAATATCATAAAAGACATTTTCCTGGCCTATATTGCCTAAAAAAAAAAAGTTGGAGAAATGGTCATTTTTCGGACCAAAACCATGTACTAACCCCTTTGGAATAATCCCAATGTATCGATTTTTTTTAACTTCACGTTTTTATAGTCTTAAATGCATTTTCTGTTTCTAAAATATTGTCAAACACATTTTTTTGACTACTGTTGGAAAAAATAAAGACATGGCCCAATTTCACATTTTTGACCAAAACCATGGTCTAACCCCTTGGGAAAAAATCCTAATTTTTTTTATTTTTTTAACTTCTCGTTTTTATAGTGTTCAAAGCATTTTTTGTTTCTAAAATATTAGCAAAAACATTTTTCGGCTTATTTTGCGAAAAAAAAAAGGGCCAAATTTCACATTTTTGACCAAAATCATGGACTAACCCCTTGGGAAAATTCCCGATTTTTCGATTTTTTTAACTTCTCGTTTTCACAGTCTTGAAAGCATTTTTTGTTTCTAAAATATTGTGAAACACATTTTTTTGGCTTATTTTGCAAAAAATGAAAACAGGGCCAAATTTCACATTTTTGACCAAACTCATGGACTAACCCCTTAGGAAAAATCCCAATTTTTCGATTTTTTTAACTTCTTTTTTTTTATAGTCTTGAAAGCATTTTTTGTTTCTAAAATATTGCCAAACACATTTTCTTAGCTTATTTCGCGAAAAATAAAAACATGGCCAAATTTCACATTTTTTACCAAAACCGTTGGTTATTGTTTAGAAGGCCTTTTCCTCTTTCTAAAATAGTGTTTAAACACATTTTTCTGGCTTATTTTGCTCAAGATAAAATTAGGGGAAATTTCACATTTTTGACCAAAACCATGGAAAAATTCCAATTTTTCGTCTTTTTAAGCTCTTGTTTTTACAGGATAGTAAGGCCTAGTTTATTTCTTTATAGAATATCGCCAAACACATTTTTCTCAAACACATTTTTATTCGTTTTTTTGGTCAAAAAATGACGTAAAGTAGCATTTGACCATGTTTTAGATAACAAGTCTTTTGTCCATGTTATAAACTCGAAAAATTGGATTTTTCCATAAGGGGTTAACCCACGATTTTGGCTAACAACTGAAAATTTTTTATTGGTTATTTTTTCTCCAAAAAAAGACATAGAGTAGTGTTTTAGCAAGTTCTAGTCACAAAACAAGCCTTTTTAGTCTCGACCTTATATAGTCGAAAACCTGAATTTCTCCAAAGGGGTTAACCCACGATTATGGCTGAAAAATAAAAACTTTTTTCAATGGATACTTTTTGGCAAAACAGGACATAAGGTAGTGTTTGAGGAACTTCTAGTTAGAAAAAAAGCAAATCAATCGATATTCGAATTTAACAAAATCGATGTTAAATTGATAGTCGAAATTTGCATTTTTCCAAAGGGCCCCGGGCCCGCGATTTTGGCAAAAATTAAAAACTTTATTTATTCGTTATTTTTGGTCATAAAAGGCCGCACAATAGCATTTGAGCTTGTTTTAGATAGAAAATAAGCCTTTCAAGACTATAAAAATGTGGATGTTATATAGTCGAAAAATTGCTTTCTTCCAAAGGGGTTAACCCACGATTTTGGCTAAAAATTCTCTTTTTTATTCCTTATTTTTGGTTAAAAAGGCCATAATGGCATGTGATCATGCTCTAGGTAGATAACAAGCCTTATAAGTCTATAATGGTACCAAGTCGAAAAATTGCATTACTTCACGATAAGGCTCGATTTCCGCCGCTGCTCTAAAGAGGGTTAAGCTACGATTTTGGATAAAAATTAAAAAAAATTTAATGGCTATATTTTTTGGCAAAGCAGGGCATAAAATAGTGTGTGAGCAATTTCTAGTCAGAAAAACAAGTCTTTTTAACCATTAATGTAATAAAGATGAACCACTAAAGTAAGAAAAAAAAACTTAACCACTAATGTAATAACTTTGTAACCATAAATGTAACAAACTCAAAGAGAACACTTAATTGGTTATTTAGGATTATTAGGATTTATAAGATTATATGGCACACGGCACTGAAAAATCATACGACCTGACCTCCTGCTTTGATATCAGGCATTGCCGATTCAACGCAATATATATTAGGCGTTATTTCATACGCGAAGAGTTACCTCATATTTGACTGCCAAACGCACAGTGACAGAAAAATGCTGCAACATCTTATCTCTTGTTATTATGTCGGGAAGTTTGAACTCCAAGTCTGAAAGTGACGATTTGGAGTGAGCTTGAAAGTAGGGGCGACTATCTTTAGCTCTCTAGATAGCATAGCTCTGCCCAAAATGGGCACTAAACATTTTTAACACTGAAATGATAGACAGACAGACAGACAGACAGACAGACAGACAGACAGACAGACAGATTGATTGATTGATTGGTTCACTTTTATTTGAATACGGTAATTTCATAAGTTACATAACTTCTTGATATGAAAGCCGTATAGAAACAGAAGTAAATACTGTACAACTACACTAAAAATATGTACAAATAATAAAATATAGTAAAATGTAGTCAACAGTTTGCCTGCCTACATGTACAAGCCAGTGTTCGTTTAAAGATAGCTTTAGATTCGGACGCTTTTATGTCATTTGGTAATGAATTCCACAGCATTCCTCCTCTGTATGAGAAAGACCGTTTATAGTATTCTATTTTTGGAACGTGGTCCAGTACAACATTATATTCCGTATTTCTTAGCATAGACTTATAAGGGTTGTTCTCACAGACATTCGAGAAAAGATCGCTTAAGTAACTAGATACATTTCCATTCACTGCATCATACATTAATAGACTTAAGTGCCTTTGACGCCTTGAGGTAAGCTCTTCCCAGTTTAGTTGTTTTCGTATTTGTACTGAACGAACGTCATAACCTTGAAAGGTTATTATGCGTGCAGCACGATTTTGTAATTTCTGGATCCTAGTGGCAAGTCCCTGGTCTAAATTGTCCCAAACAACGTCGCAGTAGTCGAACACAGGCTGGATAAGAGATTTGTAAATAGTATTTAGAACATCTAATGGTACATAATCACGTGAGATGTTGACAGCTCGGCCACACACGCCTCCACTTGGTACATCAGTGGTTGATATATATTACGGTAGTGGTTACCATTACTTTTACTGTTACATTAGTGTGGTGATACCCTTGAGACCTTTTTTTACGTATGGTTGAGCCAAACTGATCTTATTGTACTTTATCATAACTTTTATTGTACAAATTTATATGGGCTTGTTTTTATGGTCTTGTTGTTTTTTACTATTGTTCTTCGAAAGTGTGTTCAAGTGCGGACTTCGCAAGGGCACCAACTAAAATTCAAGGACTTTTCAAGAATATGCAACCCCTGTCCATGAGATGGAAGAACTGTGAAATGGCAGGCTTTTAATAGCTTCATAAACAACAAAGCTGTTTAAGTGTGTCTTTCACTGCTCGCCTTATTTCTGGAATTTTCCAACAGTAAAGTAACGGGTTTAATGACGAGTTGAAGTAAATTAAAGTCCCCGTGTACTGCCTCGCCAGGTAAACGGCTGAAGTTATCTTTTCCTGAGAAGCAGAAGTGAAAGTTAAGCCATAAGGCAGATAACAAATGACCAATGTTGTTTGCACCCACAGTGCACTGTACACTGCCTTTTTGTATCGAGCTATGTTCAGAGGAACCCTTGTTATTGCCGGTTGTTCCTGAGAATGGTCTTGAACTTGAAAGTGGTTATGACGCAAGCGCAGAGTACGAAATATTTTTGCGTACGATAAGATCGAGGTTATTAGACAAAGTAGTAAAGTTATACTTGCAATCGCTGAAGCCACACTGGGAATAAAGTAATACATAGTGATACAGAAAATAGGCGAAAACCAAAATATAGCCACAGCCATATATGTTCTCTTCAAGGTGACAATTTGTCTATACCTGAGGCCAAGCAACAAGGCGAGGAGCCTGTCAACGCTTATGGCAGTACTTGTCAACAGAGAAACTCCGCACAAAGGAAAACTAGTTATGATAGTTAAGTCTAATGCGTAGCGACATATATTCCACTGTTGAATCACCGTAGATGTCCAATAAGTAATGTTAACGGGCAAAACGATGACGCTAACACACACATCCGTCATCGCCAGGTTACGGTACAGGAGTTTGGAAGGAGGATGAAGCGTAAGCAATGATTCCTTGCAGAGGGCTGCTATTATTAGAGCATTTCCCGAAAATGCGCTTAAAGCCACAAAAACATTTAGCAACGAAACAACTATTAAATGGCTGTGTATCTCTCCTGTTAAATTTTTCGAGCAATATAATTCGTGAACTGTTTCCTCATTTTCCTCGCCTGTAAAGTTGTATGCTAGCATTTTACCGCGATCTCATGAGCTACTAGCAAGTTCACTTTCTGCCTGTTCATATATTCTTTAAGTAAAAGCTTTTTTGACCCATAATCTGGGTCACTGTCCGTCAACATTGAAACAGGTGCATATTACTCTTCGGTGTTTTTCTGAGTACTTTAAAATGTCATGGGAGAGCTCGCAGTTGTTATCAACAGCCTCCGATCTGCGCAGAACACGGAAAATTTAAGAAATCTTTCGTTACCTACACGAGAACAAAAGCGCTTTTAAAGTCTGCTAATCCAAGTATCCCAATAATCACAACTGTGTGTACGGAGAATATACTGTTTTCCTTATCATTCCAAGCCAAGTGTACTCTGTTCTTTGTGATGCAGATGTATCACGTCATGTTCAATTGCCCTTTAAACAATTTCAGTTATACAATTTTCCGGCTCTTCAAATAAATCGCCCACGGAGTAAAGTTTAAGCCAACCAAGCCATGCAAGCAATTAGATGCCATGCAAGAGAAGTGGTAATTTAATTTACAGAAGCTAATATCACTAACCATTACGTTAAGAACACCTGCTCGCTATAACAAAACTCTAAAGATGAATACATGTAGGCTAAGATTGCACTAAAAGTGATTTTTCTGGATTCATAAATGTTTCCGGATTTATCACATTTAAGGCATTAGGATTCACAGGCGTTAACTAACTAAAAACGTATTCAGATTCCCAACCGTTTACACACATAAATGCATCCGAGGAGCTTTAGCAACGACAACGGCGACGGTAACGAGAACGCAAAAAAGTAGTAGGTTTACTCCTTATCTTGCCCATTTACCAGCACAATGTGGAGTTTTGGTTTGCGTGAACCTAAACAAATGGAAACAGTTTCTTGATGTTATCATATTCATTATTCATTCATCTACTCACTCTATTATCTGAACATTGTACACACCACACGTTACAAGTAAATTGTGGGAAACGTGGCAGTAAATCTCAAGCCGAAAGATACGATTGTGACGTACTGTATGCGCCACTTCTGCAATACGATTTTCATATTGCTAAACGGCGCTCCCGAAGCGTGCCTCAAAATCCAGCGCGACATAGGCAAGAAAATGCGTTTAAAATATAATTGTTGTTTAAAATTCAATTCACTTAAGGGAACATTTAGATGCTGCAAATATTTTTTTCTCATGAATGATTGCCATTTCCATTAAGTCGAAAATTTAACAGCATTGTTAAAGGTTCTTTGCAATAAGAAATATTTATTGACCACACGGAAATTAGAGCCTGTTTAGATGGTGGTGAGGTAACATGTGGCGGGTAACCCCACCTATCATGTAAATGCGATCAAATTAAAATGAGAGATTATATGGACGAGCGGGTTACCTCACGTAAGTAGGGTAACTCACCTACCTGGGGTCCCCCACCTCCATGTAAACAGGCCCTTAAAATGTTAGTTTACATGCGTATTTTAATGCAAAGATTACATATTTATTAATATTGACTGATTTTTTGACACTAACAAAAATTTGTCGCCTGTTGGTAAAAGGGCAAAAGGTGTAAGGTGTGTTGTGTACAATGTTTATTTGTGCAAGTACAGTTAATGGAGTCCGGAGCATTAATAAGGAGATAAAAAAAAGCCAAAAGCCAATAAAAATATGGATGTTTAATCAACTAACATCTTAATTTTCGTGCCTCAATAAAGATTTTTACACAGAGTAGAACATTCAATAATGTCACTGAATAGATTTTGGACTTAATTGAAATGACAATCATTCGAGAGAATAAAGAAACATTGCAGCATCTTAATGTTGGTTAACGTTAATTTATTATCAGGGTCCTCATTAAGTGCCGGCAAAAGGATAAAAACCCGGATACTTTGAGGTCTGAGCCATTAAAGGGAAAATGGGCAAAGTGATGGAGTGAAAGTCTTAAATGGCCTATAGCACTCGATTGCCAAGCTGGCTAATTTAAAATCCTAGCTATTTATTTCAAAACTTTAAGATTCAACCCTGACGACTATTACCAATAATAACTATTATTCTAATTATTGATAAATACAATATATGTACATGCATTGATTGATTGATTGATTGATTGATTCACTTTTATTTGAATACGGTAATTTCATAAGTTACATAACTTCTTGACATGAAAGCCGTATAGAAACAGAAGTAAATACTGTACAACTACACTAAAAATATGTACAAATAATAAAATATAGCAAAATGTAGTCAACAGTTTGCCTGCCTACTAGCCAGTTTTCTTTTAAAGATAGCTTTAGATTCGGACGCTTTTATTTCATTTGGTAAAGAATTCCACAGCATTCCTCCTCTGTATGAGAAAGACCCCTTATAATATTCTGTTTTTGGAACGTGGTCCAGTACAACATTATATTCCGCATTTCTTAACATAGACTTATAAGGGTTGTGCTCACAGACATTCGAGAAAAGATCGCTTAAGTAACTAGGTATATTTCCATTCACTGTATCATACATTAATAGACTTAAGTGCCTTTGACGCCTCGAGGCAAGCTCTTCCCAGTTTAGTTGTTTTCGTATTTGTGCTGAACGAACGTCATAACCTTGAAAGGTTATTATGCGTGCAGCACGATTTTGTAATTTCTGGATCCTAGTGGCAAGTCCCTGGTCTAAATTGTCCCAAACAACGTCGCAGTAGTCGAACACAGGCTGGATAAGAGATTTGTAAATAGTATTTAGAACATCTAATGGTACATAATCACGTGCCTGTTTTAGACCACTGATGGATCGATTGACTTTTGAACAAAGTTTGTCAACATGCTCGTTCCATTTAAGATTTTCATCTAAGTGAATTCCTAAATATTTTGTTGTTTGGACTCGTTTAACATGATTGTTGCCAATCTTAATTGGAAAGTCTCTTCCTAAGTTAGATAATTTGAAGGTAGTTGTTAAGAACATATACTCCGTTTTAGTGACATTTAAGCTTAACTTATTTGCAAGAAGCCAGTCCCTAACGTGAGTTAGGTCATTATTTACCTTGGCATATAGTTCAGCAGTGGATACAGAGGACGCATATATCGTGGTATCATCGGCATACATGTGTGCTTTGGTATGGAGAAGACATCCAGGGAGATCATTGATATAAATTAAAAACAACAAAGGGCCTAAAATTGAACCCTGTGGAACACCACAACTTTAACTTACATGCATGTAACGCAGTTTGACAAAATACTTTCGTCTTTATAATGGAACTTGACTTGATTAACCACCAGACTTTGCAGTAACTTGTGGTTTGTATTTTAATGAAGTAATCCCGTCCACTTTAAGGGGATTTGGCTTTTAACAACCTCACACACATTGTTTTAATTTGTACCAGGCTAATCTGCTGTTTAAAGAAAAAGGAAGTATCACGCCTGTAAAATAAGCAGGCCATTTTACTTTTACTAGTTTTTGCCTAATTTTGTAGAATATCATTTAATATAAACAATTTTAATTTGTCTATACATCATAATAACAGTTAAAAGGTATCCTCCTTCCCAATATTGTGCAGGGCACAAACAAAGTTAGTTTTGCTGCTTGCCATTTGGGCAACCTGTAGTTGGCATGTACTGGCTCAAGAGTTATTTAAGCTACCCTGAAAAGAAAATGGCCTAAACTCAGCTTAATCGTGGCTCTTTATCAAAAAACGGAAAGCTGTAATTTGTATAATGTTGGATGTTATGATTTACAACAAAAGGAGGATAATGATGAGAAAAAGAAATTTTGTTTCACAAGCTCCGTTTCTCCAATTTGTTGGCCTTCATGACTATCATGAAAAATTTGAACAAGTATGATAGTTGATGACTGTTGAGTACCATGTGCTGTTAAAATGTGTAGTAAACTGCTGCTTAGCTTATTAGACTTGGGCTTATACATCTTCGTAAGGAGTTTTAGAGGGCTTATAAAAGAAGGGGCTTATATTCAAGGGGGTTTACAACCAGAATAGAAGAAGCCCTTGTAAACAGAAGGCTATTATAGCGTTGCTAATAAAAATACATTTTGCCTTTATTTATTTTTAATGAAGGGTCAAAACATCACAATAAATCATTTTTTTTCAATACATTTGCAGGAGGACTAATATCCAGGGTGCTTATAGATGTAATCATGACTATAACAAAATTCTCAAATCTGATTGGCTATCACTGCCCTGATTTCAGCCTTAATAGGACAGTTTAATCGGACAGTACGCGACATGAATATTAAGTAATTGGACAGTACCACCATCACGCACATGCTTAAATGGCTTTTTTTCACCACTGGCAAAAGAAAATATCTAGGAATTTCTTGTGTTTCAATTTAAATAATTTCAATAAAAAGAGCCTTATATATCATAAATTTTGTTAAAGTTATGATTAATTGGTAACAGAACTTCGTGTCGTCTGATTCGATCTGTAATCATACTCGTTCTTTAACAAATCGGACTCCCTCTACACGATCGTCCGATTTTTTTAATCACTCGTATGATTACAGACCGAAAGGGACTCCACTCAGTCCTGTTACCATTACTAATGGAGTGTATTTTTTTTGTTCTCAAATACATGTTTAGAGGGGCCTAACATCAGGAGGGGGGCTTATAAGAAGCCATTTACAGTGAGTGGTAAGATTTCTATACGATGTAGTACTCCATACAGCCCCATACATCTATAAAGTTGCAGTAATTTTATACTATTTCACACAAATAGTGAATATGAATAGAGTCCAATCATTGTGTCCTTAATAATTGTACACACGTGGGGTTGTACAGAAACCTTACCAAAGAGTTAAAACTATCATCAACTGCAACTATATACACAGGAAAAAATAACGGATTCCCATTTTTGGATATTTTAGGGTATTTAAATATGTGTGACAAGTCCCAATCAGGGAACTTGGTTGGGAATTCCCTGGTTGGGACTTGTCACACTTTGCCAAATTTGGGATTTTTATGGGTATTCTTTAAATACCCTAAAATATCCAAAAATGGGAATCTGTTATTTTTTCCTGTGATACAGGTTTCAATACCTTTTCGTTCTGTTAATCACTTCTTCCAGATTAGCTAGTTCCCAGTCCCTGTATTTGGCAGGTACAAAACACAGTACAGGCCATTTGTGACCTCTGACCGCCCCTCTGACCCACGTTTTGTACCTGCCGACCAGTAATCAAAATCCTATTTTCCCAGGATAAAAAGGAGAAATTTTATACCCGAAGTGTTTTTGCTAAATTGCACATTATCATGTAATTTAATTTTGCTATTCTTTTAAACTCCAACACCGGTTTAACTGCCCACTGAAATATACATGTACATGTCAATTGTTAAGTACATGTACTCAGCACAGTGAAGTGGTTCAAGAAGCATTCATTGGGTAGAAAAACGCGAAACAGGAACAGCTTACCTTGCCTTACTATCTGCTTTTTCCCGGAGAATCTTGTGTCTTGTTGATCCTTTATAGTTCCACAAAAGTTATTCTGCGTTGTGATCACTCCAGTTTTAAATAATTTATCCTTGCGCTTCACGAGGTCTGCTCTTCTGTCAAAGTCTCCTGTCTCGAAAGGGCTGCTTCAAGGTTGACAGTCCAATAACAATTTGTAATAACCTTTGTCCCATGATGCCATCGAGAGGCCCCAAACTTCCAAAGAAGGAAATACATGTAGAGGCTGGGATGCATGTATACATGTTTGGAAACAGTGGAAGCAGTTTCACTCAAAATGGACGCCAAAAGAACGTTTTGAAAGAAAGCCCGCTGACCGGGAGTTATTCCCAGGCCTCCCTCTCTCTGGATTTTCCCTCCCGAAGACGAATAACATTCAAAACAAAAGCAAGCGGTGAAGGAAATTCAACAAATAACTTTAAAAACTTTTTGGAACCAGATTTCATATTACCCCTTTGTTGAAGAGTCAACACTCATCAGTTGTTTCATGCACTTCGAGACAAAAGAGGTCATCGACGAGGATGGGATTCGAACCCACGCGTGCAGAGCACATTGGATTAGCAGTCCAACGCCTTAACCACTCGGCCACCTCGTCTTCACAGTGCAATCATGTCTTGTTTCTTATCTGCTTTATCCCAACAATCTTGTCCAGGTTGCAAGGACTTATTTTTAGGAGCCAGTGGCATAAACGTTACTTCCGTCATTGCGAGGGCTTTTGCGGAGAAGATCGTGTTAAAAATTCATGCTAAGTGCAACTTAATTTGCGTATAGGGAAGGAGGTAGCTGTACGAACCTACTCCTCGCAATCCAGAATAAGGTTACTTAGTACTATGTTGATTCCCCAAAGTCCGACAGAGTGCAAGGCAGTACGTTTACTAGCGATGGCCAGGGCGTTTAACTGTGTGGGCCAACATGGCCTTTTGTCACAGAAACTGAAACAGCCTCCTGCTCAATCCTTATATACTAAACTGGTATATATCTCAGCTTTCTAAAGCGCAGACAGGGTTGGTGTGGTGAGTGGAAAGTAGATATAAGGGTACCACCCAGGGGAGTGACAGTGGCCCGCAATTTATTTAACATTTTTCTTGATGACCTTGAGCGGCAGACCTTTTAGATGAGCCGATGCTAACTATTTACGCAGATGATTCTTAAAATATAATATCACCTATGTGGGTCTGATAGATCTGAGGCACAAGTTAAACAGATGGTCCAGCAATAACGGTATGTCCTGCAATCCGAGTAAACGCAAAGCCAGTGTATTTATGAAGAAAGTTTATTTTTCCTGTCGTGTCAGGTATTTCGCAAACCAGAGCGCTCTCCGTTCTTAGTGTTACTTTCCAGGAAGATTGCCGATTTACTACACATCTACGCAATAAGTTAATTAAAGCTAACAAATTTATTTTTATACTGAGATCAAGGAGGGTTATACTTAGGCAGAATTAGACTATCTGTTTCAAAGTCTAGTTATCCCTAATTTGACCTATGGTCTAACGGTCTACGGTGCCGTTAATGTAGAGCTTACGACTCGGTACAACGTTCCTTGACCGGTGTCACAAGCGGAGATATACATATCTATCTAAGGCAGCTCAACATCTATGGTTATTAGAAGAACAAGGTAGGAAAAACATCAAGAGAAAAATCCACTGAGAAGCCTTATGCCTAAGCTGAACCTTACAGAAATTAAGAACGCGGATTATTATAGTAGCCTGTTGGTAAGAACTGAAAACGTGACACGGTGTAATTCGGTAGGCATGTGACGGTCCGATGTTAGCTAGGGCTTTCAACAGAGTGTTCGTGTTTCCCAGCTAAAAGTCGGCAGACTAATAGCTGATTCAAAATAGTATGCGATGAGGAAAATTCAACAAATACAACAATGTAATAAATCTAAAAAGCCAGTAATACTCTTAGATACGGAGAACAAAGTATTAAAAAGTTATTTGTAAGATAACTAACGAAACTTAAGTGTAAGAATGTCAGTTTTCTCTATATATTTGAACCTCTATTTAGCGGCCACCCTCTGTTAAGCGCGGCAAATAATCAAAGTCCCGAAACTAGAAAAGAATGGGAACTTAAACCTCTATTAAGCGGCCACGGCCAGTTTTGGCCATCCCAACAAGATTTCTCCCATTGTTGCCACCTCCATTAAGCGGCCATCAAGCACTTGAGACACTTACAGTTTGGCTTAATGTTCGATGAATATGATCAAGGAAAACAGTCCGAGATAGAAGTTGACGACCGATTATGGACCAGTAATGTGTTTGTTTCAAAATAAAGTGATGTTTCTGCTACAGATTATGGCATGTTGACTAATTTGTGTCGTACCTCTATTGAGCGGCCAACCTCAAACGGCCATATGCAGGTACTCCGAGGGTGGCCCGCTTATGACAGTTTCAACTGGCTGTAATTTCCACCTTCTACCCGTTCTGTGATGGGCTACAACCCAGCTATGTTTTGGGTTCTATCGGTGTCTTGTTTATGTCTTGCAAAGTCAATTTTCACGTAGTACGATCAGCTTTGCAGATTTATGTTTTACTCCTAGAAAGCTGGGCTTAGCTGTTCGGTATGCACCCTGCAGCCCTTAACCTATTTGAGGTCAAAATAAGCGATTTTCCTTAATCTTTTCTTTAAGCAGCTAAGTCTCTCCCTGTCGTGGACGGTTTCCCAAAGGAAGCTCTAAGGGAACAGGAATGGTTTTTCACCTCGGTTAGAAGTTTTAAAAAATGCTATGAACTTCAAAGGGCGGAAAATTCAAACTTTTATGATTTGTTTAATCCATTTTTCAACTTCCGATCACGATTCGCGCTACATGTAGTCGATCGATCCCATAGTGACATCCAATCAGAGCTGTAGATTTCGTACCAGACTTTTTGGGTTTAATCTACAGTCTAACCGGTCAACAGAAAGATGGCTCCATAAATTTAAGAAAGTCGCGAAAAGAAACGCACCCCAGTCAAGAAGACTGAATTCAACGTAGTAAATTTAACTTATCTTTTCGGAAATTTCAGTTTTAACGGAATGTTGTTTTCTTTTTTTTCCTCTTAGAGATTTGAGGAAACGCTTTGCGTAAAAAAATACTGGATAGAGTTATTGTTTTGTACGCTTCACCCAGGGGATGTGATTAACTCCAACGTGGCCGAAAGGGTCGAGAAGCTGCTTCCT